CTTTTTCCTAACTATTCTACAACCAATAACTCCAAACAATGAGTAACTATTTATACTAGATAAGCTAAGGGCAGGCATTCCAGCAATCATGGGGGGGAGGAGGGGGTGTGTGTGTAAGAAGGAACTGAGAGGGTTGGGGGTCAGCACGGGAATATATGCACGGCCATATCGGCACCATTCTAGAGGACTCCCTGGCTGGCCCGACAGGTACTGCTAAGGGTAAAAAGCTTCCAGGAATTGTGCACGTGGCACATACACACCTAAGAGGAATGGACATAAGCAAGCACTCAAAGAAGCAGCAATGGTTGCTTCAACACCACACAAAAAAGCCAACTAAGTTTAACAGATGCGGTGATGTTGGCAAAACCTGGAATGCCTCCTCAGAGGTACCAGCATCCACTGAAATGAATGGGGCAACTGAACTCAGATGCTCAACGACAGTATTTTAAATAATAAATATTGTTAAACAGCTTCATTGTTCAATGAAGCGAACTTAAAGGAGAGGGAGGTGACTATTAGGAAGAGGTTTACACAGGGCACCAAAAGACCCCTTTTTTAAGAACAGGGGAAGAATAAATTCTGGAGTATACTACCATTTTCCCTTCCCACAATCAAGAAGCAGCCAAGCTCAAGGAACCTATCAAAATTTAGCACAACAACATGTTACTTCTTCTCTTCCAAAGGGGAGACAAGCGCAGGAAGCCCAATAGGGCTTATAAGCTCAAACATCTCCTCAATGAGGCTCTAACCACCCAGTGGAGCTTATGTATGTATTCAGGTCATTCTCAGAGGAAGACAAGACCTAGTCTTCTCTTGCAGCGGGAAATTGGAGATGTTCAAAATGCAATCACATCTTCTGCAAGTGGTATCTCATGAGGATAGTACTTTCAAAAATACCATGATATCTTTTACTACTGCTTTTGCTGCTTCCCTAAAGCTGAAATGTTCATGTACCTAGGATTTATACAGCACAGCAATAAAAATGAAACTTGAATCGGTCAATCCCTTTTAATCTACACAGAAAAAAAATGATCAAAATCCCTGCTTTTTCATCTAATCACAGCATTTCAAGATTAGTTCTTATGGCCAGTTAATATACATGCATCCATAAAGCAGGTTAGTGAGCGAGCAAACTACTCAATCCCAATTTACGTGGAACATATGAAAGACAAGTTTTCATTTTTAGCATTAAGTTGGAAACAGGTTGGCTCACCTTAGATTTCTGAAGTACATAATACACATCATCCCATCAAATGGGCTTTGGATGAACATAGCTGCAACTTCAAGGCACTTCGGAGAAACTGACTAGCGGGTTGTCAGTTTGAGTGAAAAGATGTTATATTCAACTGCTACCTTAGTAAGTGAAGGTTTCTTTTGGTCTAATAACCATGTAAAACCATGCATTTCTGCTCTTTTGTCACTTTCTCAATCCTCCTGAAACATCCCAAAATGTACATGCCACCCCCAGGGAAGATTTTTGGAAACAAATTTCAGAGACAATAGTGAGCTTTCAAGATGGGAATTTAAAGGTAGATATAGCTGTCCTGGCACAATGTAGACTCAAACTTGGTTACTTTACTGTAAAACCGATACTATTCGCATGTCAAATCTCATATGAAATCATTTCCTACCAAAGATTAAGAAACATTTGAGAGCTTTAAAAAACACACAAAATGTGACCTACCAAGGAATGTCTTTTTACATGCTCTCTTCGAGTAAACAGCTTCCCACAGATGTCACAGCTAAAAGATCTAACTCCTGTGTGAATGAGCAAATGTCTCTTTAGTGTTCTTCTGTATTTGGCTACATAATTACAGTGTGGACACTTCAGTTTGTTCATGATTAGAGCAGATGAATCACCTAAAAAAAATAAAAAAAAAAGAGGCTCAGTGTTTAGTAACAGTAGAAAATGAAACAGGACTATTTTCTGATACAGTCTAGTATAACAAACAGCAAAAGGCTTTTGCACTAAACAGATGTCAAAACTACCTAGGTCAGAAATGTGTTGATCCAGGATCCGTTGACACTAGGGATATAAATGATTAACTGATCAGCATCCCAGCTGATGCATATCAGTTGCAATTAACCGGAGAGGGCTGGAGCAGCAACCCACTCAATGTGGGCAAAGGGCTGTTCCAGTCTGGAGGGGCCCACTGCAGGCAGGTGATGTTCCACCCCAGCCAGAGCAGCCCCCATCCACAGCAACCCTGGCCCAGTTAACTGATTAAATCAGATTTTACACCCCTAATTGATATTGACCAAATAAGCACAATTTGACTGAAGTGCCCATTTAATAAATGTCAGCTCCAATGGAGTCTGATTGTCATTAGGGATGTTAAATTTCAATTAATCAGCTAATCAAGTAGTTGATGGAATTAGATTAGTCAAATAGGGTGGGGAGGGGGGGAAGCTCATTATCTCACTGTGCTTCTCTCTTTGAAATGTATAAGAACCAGCCATGGCTCCTGTACAAAAAGAGAGATGCAGCAGGTTCCCACTGCCTCTACCCCTTTGAAATGCACAAGAGCCGCATGCAGTTCCTGCATATTTGAAAGGGAGACACACGCCGGGAACTCAGGCCAGCAGGGACAAAAGCAGTTCCCCTGAACCTCTTCTTCAAAATCTATGAGAGCCGCAGGCAGTTCTTGCGCATTTCAAAGAGACAGAGGCAGTGGGACCTGCTGCATCTCTCCCTTTGAAACAATCGCTCACTCTGGTCCGACTGTTGCTCTTCTCCCTTCGACATGTACAAGAACCAGCCTTGGCTCCTGTACATTTCAATCTCCACTCTTGCTGTTTCCCCATTGCCCTCTGCCTCCCCTGCAACGCACGTAGACCATGCTGGGGGGAACTAGCTTTTAAGCTGGCTCCTCCCAGCACCGGCTCATGGAAAGTATTTTGATAGTGATATATTCATAGTGAATTGTATTATGATTTTAGAATCATAAAGTTACTTGAATTAATGAAGGTATTTCTTTATATAATTGCCTCCACAGAACTTTGCTTACACTCCCTTCTTCCCCTCTAATTCAGAGCTCAGATGCACTTTCTAGAGGCTATGAAGAACTGGGGTATGGTCAGGAGGTTAGAGGGGCAATTATATTCTTGGGCCACTGATGGTAGAACTCAGTCAGACAAACCCACATTACAAGAAATGTTAAGATGCTATAGTACTACGTGACAGAAGGAATGGAATGGGTCTTAGGTCTCCACAGCTAGACAGAACTCAGGAACTGTTATGGGGCTGGCTATTCATTTCTTCACCCAATGAAGACATGAACACAAGACACACACAGGACTTAACTGCAATCAAAGCTTCTAAAACATTTTTTTTTAAGGGCATGTGGCTATGCACCAGATGGACTCCATGGAGTCAGTATCAGGGAAGATATAGCAAATACTTGTATGAGTAAACAGAAAGTACTGCTTGTTGGTACAAAGATTTAATTAATCTATAAATGGATTTTAAGTGTTTGTAGTCTTCAAAAAATTGTATCAATAGCCAAGCACTCACTTTGAAGCATCTAAAAGATCCATAACATTAATTATAAGAATGTCACCTTTAGAAATCCTATCCCAGAACTGACTGAACTTGTACTCCTCTACATTAGGCATGTTAGTTAATGTTTATTTCTGTAAACATGTAACCCCTGAATTTTTCAGCGGTTACACGTTTACACATGGGGGAAGACAGTGCTCATAGGGCTCCCCGTGAGTACCAGTTCCTGCCTGCCCCCTCCCCGCTGCCTCTTAGGCAGCAGTGCGGTGGGGCGACGGGGGACGCGGCAGACAGCTCTGCAGAGCTAGTACGTGCAGGGAGCCAACTTGAAAGTAGGCTTCCCACGCGTACTGCCTGCCCCCAACCACCATCCACGCTGCTGCCTCTTTGGAAGGCAGCAAAGAAGGGGGAGGCAGGCAGCTTCGTAGGAGTAGGCTCCCGCTTTCCCCCTCCTTATTACCTCTAATACAGAAGCAGCAAGGGGGTGGAGTATGTGTAGTCATTAAGATTAACCGCTAAGCCCAAGCTTACTGGTTAATTGTGTAAACAACTATACACTAACATCCCTATTCCACATTCAGACAGACGTAGTCAATAGGCAGACTGCAGACTAAATTTGGAGTACTAGATGCTTTTGAATGGGCCACCAAAAAAAAAGAAGTGCCTTATTTACTTTACCACCATTACTGTTATTGAAGTGTGAAAAATGCTGTTCCAGAGTCTAGACCTTGACTATACTATGACCAAGGAATACGAACATTGACAAAAGTCAGAAAAATATCCTTCATAAAGCATTCTGAGTTCTGATAAGGGATAAAAAGGACTAAATATTATTACTCAATCTGTATGTTCCTAGAACAGCTGCTTTATTAAGAAGGGGTATGTTTCATTATTATTCTATATTCTCAAAATCTTCAGAAAGTTTGCCTACAGCTAACCCCTAACTAGATCTATGCATTGGGGAAAGAATGGGAGTGAGGAATGTTGCCCCAAGAAGGGAAAGACCACCCAACATAGGTCTCAAGAGAAGATGCTTTTAGCCATGTTGAAAGGCGATATGGATTGCACCAACCAAAACTTAACATGTTAAGTGACGCTATATTTTATCTTCATGCTAATCCATATATCCTAAATTGACACTAAGAGCCTAATGTTTTTACAAATGCTAACCGGCTAGTTTTCTGTGAGCAAAGCTACTGTGACATCGCCAAAGGGAAGATTACAAGTATCGCTACTTGTGAGTGAGTATTTATGAGTTTCATATAACCCAGGATTTTTAAAAATAAACTCAAGAAGTCTGCTGGCCAGTTCTATGCAGAGGTCAGACTAGATGATTTCAATGATCCCTTCTGGGCTCAAGCTCTATCATAACAGTGAAAGAAACAAGACCTAAAACAGGGGCTTTGAAGGGAAAAAATTACTTGCCATTTTCCCAAGCTTCTTTTGGCCAAGATTCCGGCAACAGTCCATACTTGAAGTCATTTGAAGCACCCGGCAACAATCCATACTTGAAGTCATTTGAAGTACCAGGCAACAATCCATACTTGAAGTCATTTGAAGTACCTGTTACAAGTAATGTTAACTTGATTTATACAGAATTCTACAGAAGAGAATTCTTGAAAAGTTTGTTTTAAAATATAACTTTTCAGAGAAGCTTTATGACTAAGGTTCTGCTTAACTTATGATATTGCAGAAATTGCAGATTCCAAAGTATGAGGCATCCACTGCAATTCTGACCTCTGATGCACCCTCTAAAGCCCTGGGTGGCTGACAGGAGTGAGGGGGACATTGTTGAAAATAATGGACTTTATTAGCACAAATAGGGTCCATTACCACCTATGGTCTCCACAATTTTCCATGGCTTGTTTGCAATCATCACCCCAATTTGACAATTTCATCTTGGAAGTCAAGAAGGGAGTTATTTATGAATTGATCAGAGTAAATTTATTCACCAAACTCTGGGATTTTTAGATTACAGCCCTGGATAATTTTATCCTCCCCATGCTGGGAGATTCTGCAAAAATGAATGCATTTTCATGCAACAAAATCCTTATGGGTCAGTTCCACTCTAAGTCTTCATTCCCCACACTCCCCCCGCCCTCCCACACACTTTGCCCCCCATTTACATACACCAGAAAAATCGTTAGTGGAAACTTCCAGCCACTGACAGAGCTACACTATCTCTCTCAATGAGATTAGCTATATTGACAGTGTTCCATCAGTACAATAAAGTCTACATCAGGCGAGGGAAGACAGCCTCTGTGGGCTGGATTTGGCCCGCCAAATCGGCTGATTCAGCCCATGGTCTGGGGATGGGAAAGCACGCAAAGTTTCTTCCCGGCACCAGGGGCGCATAGCACTTAGAGTGAACCGCGAGCTGTTTTGACCAGCTGGAGGTTCTTCTAAGTGCCACATGCCTCTGGCAGGGTAGAGGGCAAAGACTTGATGCACTCCCATTCCGAGGCCCTGACTGGCCTGGGGGTGGGGGGAAGTGCATGAAATCTCCTCCTGACACCAAGGGTGTGAGCAGGGGGCAAAGACTTCACATGCTCCCGCACGCCCCAGACCAATCAGGGTCGGTGGACGGGAGAACACAGGAAGCATCCTGTCCCTTCTGCTCAAGGCCCCACCCCTTCCAGGGCAGCCTGGGACTTCACATTTCTGAAATGGACCCCCTTCAAAAATTATGGCCCACCTCTGGTCTACATGATCAGTTTTGCTATCATACTTGCATTGAGCAGACAGTAAAATTCTTCTCCATTTCCAGCCAAAATAGCCATGCAGGCAAAATTTATGTAATTCAGACCATGCCATATACCTAGTGCCTTACAAGAGGTGGAACAAAGTACCTTTACTTGCACGGTTATTACATGCATACTGGGGGTTGTATTGCTACATCAGGAGAGGACTGACAGTATACTTCCTTTCTGTTGGGCAAGGTATATACAGAAACATCTATCATTAATTTTTCACTAGCATGGTGTAAGTAAAAATCTAATCAACATCAGATTATATGCATCAGTTTTCTTCTGTTGCTTAAGAAGCATTATGGATTATGCTTGACAGTGGTGTGACTACAACACACACAGGAAAACTGCTCAAAGGGAGCCCAAATGAAGCTAACAGGTGTCTGAATTTTTTTTGTCATGCAGCTGGATAGCCAGGTACCAGCTACAGTCCATGTGGGATCAATCATGCAACTGATTTCAGCAATTAAGTCTCAGTAAACACAAAGCCTCAGCTCCCAGTGAGTAAACAGGAAGTTATTCTGCTGCCAACAGGATTGTCCCAAGGATTTGGTTTGGGGTTTTTGAGGACGGTGGGAGGAGAGGAGAGGAAATGAAAGGAAAGGAGAGAAGCAGAGAACTCCAACCATTTTAGTTCTCATGCCTGGCTGGTGAAGGTAAGGAAGTGGCAATGTAATTTTCCTTTGATTCCTGGGAATCAGAATGAAACTGTGCAAAAGTAGTTTTTTCAAATTTTAGATCATACCAGATCATTCCTGTGTCCATGCTCCTGCACACAAGAAGTAGTAGTAGTAGTAGTAAGAATTCCCTCATCTTGAAGATAATATTGTTGATTACAGTACAGGCATCTCACAATAGCTCATTTAATGAAACAAGAGACACACATAGGTTAAGTTCCTATTGCTTATGAATACGTCAAAATTCTCACACAAATAAAATCCTCCCTTTGAGGTGAAAAGTATGGAAGAATGGTGATCTATATATCCCACCCTGCGTAACTAAAAGTCTCCAGGTCTGTATTAAAACCACCACCACCACTGGACAGTGACGATAGGTAATCACTTCAAAACAGAATGGATAATTGCTATAATCCTCCTGATCTTCAAGTGTAAAAGCCAATAGGTGTCATCCAAAAAGAGAAAGAGAAAGCTTTTTTGGAGAGGCACTATGTGATCAAAGTTTTTAGCAACTCTAAACTAAAAGCCTCACATCTGCAATACTAATAATCAGGGCATGACAAACGGCGGCCCCGCAGCGCGCATACACAAGACTCGCATTGCACACGCGTCCACTGCCAGTGAATGGGGGACCGGCTGAAATGATTTGTCAAGCCCTGCTTATAATCAAACCCTGTGTCTTGAGATTGTTTACACTACAAGCCTATGTAGAGTATCACAATTGCCTTGCAAGAACCGACTAGACTAAAGGTTTATGGCAACGGTTAAGGATATGATTGTCATAAAATAATGCAGTAGATAGGGTAACTTGAAATCAGACTTAGCAATTTTCATTTTCTATATGAGACCTCCTCAGTTATAGTTTTACTGGTTCTCTGTCAGAGAGACCCCTATATAAAGGTAAGGAAACTTATGGTAGATATAGTGGACAACCAGAACACCAAAAAGGAGAACACACCATTTTTGGCTCAATTAATAATCAGCAATTAGGAGTCTTACTGCTACTAACAGGAGTGCCCAGGCCCCTTACACAATAAGAAACAGGGTCACCTGGTGCAGAGTGTGTCAAGGCATTTAGTAGGAGAATCACTGCACAAACATTTTACAATTGTGTTTTAACACAAGAGAAGTGAGCAGAAAACAGGAGACAGGCAATATGCTGCACCTGGAGCAGCCATTATGCAGTTTATTTAACTCATTAGCTGGTTTCAATTTAAAATAAAGAGGCAACTTACCTAACAGATATCAGTTACATTTTATCGTAGACATAGTCGAGACAGCTTTTTAAAAGTGACTTGGAAGTGGTTTAATGAGCATTAGTAAGAAAATTATAGGCATTAAAGCCATTTGAAGAGGGTGACAAGAGACTGCTTTGTTAATGGAACAATACAGATACAAGAAAGGATAGTTAGCAGCTAGTTTGAAAAACAAACAGCATAAGGATCAGAAGTTTAACCAAGAGAAGGGAAGAGTTAGAGCAGTGGTCCCCAACCTTTTTGTGGCCAATAGCACATTCACGTTTGCAGAAGAGTGTGGCAGGCGCCAACAATTTTTCAAGGCTTATTTTATATTTGTACAGTAAAGAATATGAAAATCGTATTTAATATATGAAACCTAAGATAAAAAAGGGTAATTTTACATGTAAAAGGTATTAAATTATTCAGCAGTTACTTTCACCTTATGTGAATTTGCTATTGTCATATTAAATGTGAATTGGGTAAATTGGATAGAAACTTAATTTAGCTGGATAATTTTTATGTTAATTATGTTGTAATTTTAAAACAATTCTGCATTAATAAAAGGGGGGGGATGTCCAAATGTTGAGCAAAAACAGCACCCTCCCCCCCAAAAAAATCATGGCACCTTTAAATCTCACACTCCCCATCCCCACCATGTCTCCTCACCTTGCTCCATCAACTCCCCTGGTGCCTGCTGCCCCCCAACCTCTCACCCTCCTCTGCCGTCCTGACTCCTGCCCTTCTCACTGCCCTCAGCCTTCCTGAGACCTGCCCCCCTCCACCAGCCCTTCTCTCCCCCCTGGGCCCACTCCTCCAGTAGCCCCACTCTGATCATGTGAGCTACCCCTCCTCGTCCCCTCTTCTAACACCGCCCTCTACACACCTGCCCTGCGTCTCTCCCCTGCAGGTGTCTGCCCTTCTGCTTCACCCCCAGAATCCCCTGGCACCTGCACCTTCCCTTACCCCTGCACCCTCCTGGTGCCTCCTCCTTCCCTTACTGCCTCTGCCCCCTTTGCCTTCTTTTTCCCTGATGCCCACCCCCTCACCACCCTCTGCCCCCGTTCCCCTCATGCCCCTGTGCCCTCACACATGACTTGCTCCATCCCCGCCTTCCTCATGCCCATCCCTTCTTTCAAGCCTTCTCCCAGCACCTCCCCACTCTAGCCCCAATGCCCTTATCCTCTCCTCTCCCAGCATCATCCTGTCCCCCCTCCCACTGACACCTCCACTCCTGCTCTTTTTCTCATGGTCTCCACTTGCCTCCCTCCCCCGGCACTTGTATCTCCTCCACCCTGTCCCTTGGTGCCTTCCCCTTTCTTCTCCTGACCTGCCCCCCTTCCCATCAGCATAAGCCCCTTCCTCTCCCACCCTTTCCCCCTATTCTTCCCCTCCCCTCCCTTCTGCCTTCCAGTTTGCAGGGCTGGAGTCTGCTGCGATCGGGCCCCAGAAGTCCCTGCAGCCTGGGCTCCAGACCAGGTGCTGGAGCTGGGCCGCTCGGCGTTCACATCCCCGGCCCATCGCAGCACTACCGCCCCGTCAGGTGCACTCACCACCATCCCGCCTCTGGTCAGGCTCTGCTCCCCCATGCCCCACTCAGCACATCTCCTTCCTTCTTCCCTAAGCCACAGCTCGCCCAGCGGGCCCCCCCCCCCCCCCCCGGTGCAGCCCTGGCTCCACCCGGGTTGACAGTGCATGCTCGCACCTCTCTCAGCCATGCCTGGTTTCCCTTCCCCCAGCCCGGTACCTTCCCCAGCTGGTGTCAGCTTGCCGGCCTCCTTGTTGGAGTCCCTCGGCCCAGTGGGGTCTTCTGGCGGGGCTGTAAGTGCCAGCAGCAGCCCTAACGGCTCCAGTGCAGAAGTGCAGAGGCCGGTGGCTCTGGGCCAGTCCACCCCTGCCTTAGG